GTTATATAATTTTTTTTCGAGTCATTTCGAGCCGAACACGAGCGAACAAACTGTTGTTCGTGTTCGGCTCGTTTACATTTCGGGCTTAAAAATTTGTTCGTGTTCGGCTCGTTAGGCTCAACGAACGAGCCGAACACGAGCTGTTTAACGAGCCGAACATGAGCTGTTCACGAACAACGAGCCAAATTGACAGCCCTATATCTAATATCTAAACTTTAATTTTGCTAAGTGTTGAATCCTAAATTGTCCTTTCAGAACACGTCTCTAGAGTTGGAATCCGACAAAGGAGGAAAGGGAGGATAGAGAATAAGTTAAGAATTCACTGTTGAGAGAATTGGGAGAGATCCCTTTATTTTTCCTTTTGTTTCCTATCATAGGGGTGTATTTGTACAATTACAGAAATGAGAGAACATTTATGAAAACTATATTTTTCCTTTTGTCTCATATAAATTTTGTACCATATCTATATTACCATTTGAATTATGATAGGATGGTAATTGACTAGTCGGTCTACTTGAATTCGATCGGCTCAGGCAACTCATTGAGCAGCGACCGTGCCTTTCGAAGTAAATGACGATTGGCTGAGGCGTTTGGTCAAATGACGATCTCGTGCATCGTAGTAAAAGCTGGTCGGCCGACTAGCTTGCGATCAAAGGCTCTTACATTTGTCTTGGTCGGTTGGGAGTGCAGGCGTAGTCCGATTGCATCTCTCACAATAGTGTGTCAGTCGATTCTAATCACATGGTCGCTTGTAGGATGGTAGGATGTCTTGATTGTCTGATCACCATCGAGGCCTTTTTATTGTGTTTATGCTTCATGCTAACAGTTTTCGTGTATACAAATTAGTTCCAAAATTTTTTCTGCTCCTTAAAAGAAATAGCTACGATAAAGACAGAAAAATTATTAGTGTTCAATGGTACGAGAATCAAGAAAATCAATTCAATAATTAACTCCCCTTGGATTCTGTGCTCAGAGTGTTTCATAAATATAGTCATAGGCTAGACATTACATCCATTACAGTTATTCTAACTTCGATAATTGAGTTGTTCCAAGGCTGATGGTTCGAGCTGGACATCTTTGGACTCCAAAATTTTAGCGAAGGCAGGCTACGGACCCTTGGCTTCTGTAGAGAAGGGAACAATCGAAGCTCGAACCCGTGACAATTGATCATGCTGGCTCATCTGAAAATCTGGAGGCCCCTTACAAGGAGACTGTGGCCCCTGAGCCTGATCAAGGTGTGAGTTTTGAGGGCAAACAAACCTTGCTTGTTGAAGATGTCGATGAGGGTGGAAAGAGGCCGGAGGGATTGGAGATTGGCATTTTTTCTCGGCCGCTATAGCAAGAAGGTGGAGGTGCCTCGGTATGAGGAGTAGAGAAGTCTTTCCACACCCATTCTTTTGTACCACAATGACATTGAGAAAGGAGGTTTCTGAGCTCGAGAAGAAGGTCGCTTCATCAGTCTCCAAGAAACAGTATGAGGATGGTCAAACAGAGTGCCTTAAACTTGGGGTGGATTATGTTTTTTAGCAATTCGTTCATCATGGTCTTGTCGATCCTAAGTTCTCTTACCAAAAGGAGTTCTCCACCGATTGAAAGTTCCAAAGGAGAAGATGATTCAGACAGCGAAGAAGAGTCGATCACCCGCTAGGGTCCTATAAAACAAGAACTTTTCTCCCTTTCCTTTTTTTTCTTTTTTCTTTTTTTTTTTGTTAGAAAAAAAAGAAAAATGAAGGTGTGCTCAAATGGTTTAATAGCCTACCGAAAAGATGCGATGACTCCTTCCAATAGGCTATTAAAACATCAGAGCCAAAACTTTTTTCATTAGTCAGGAACAACCAGCACTTCATGGCGTCATTAACCTGCAGGACTCCAACTGTGAACTCCAAGGAGCCAAGGTGGTCGGTCGGGTCACTTTTCCCTCTATAGGGATCATTGTGAGGAATCCTGAGCTTTGTCGGGGATATTGTTTCTAGAATTTTTCAAGACAAGGTGCTATCCATGACCGGTTGAGTGATTGTTTCTACTCTGTTCACACGATGTGGGACTGTCGACATATATGTGATGGTGTCTGTCGGGCGGGAATCTCTTAATCCTTCTGTTGGTCGGTCGTCAAGCCAACAGTGGGTGGCTCTGATGGATTATTGAGGGGAGCCCTCTGAGGGCAGATTTTCCGAGACTCTACCTCCATGTGCGGCGATTGGGCGTTCAGGATCATCACTGCCATAAGAGCCTCGAATCGGTCCAATATTTGCTTTCACAGTGTGTGGACCTCTTCCTGTGTGTCTTGACATATTGTCTCTCTATTGAATTTCATTGGCACTGAACTTTCTACAGGGATTCTTCTTCGTACTTGGCTCTGCTTCTCCTTTGGGGCATGCCATGCTCACCGCACAATCTTTTAGAATGTTGAATCTTAAATTGTCATTTGTGAACGCGCCTCGAGAGTTAAAAACGAATGAAAGAGGAAAGAGGAAAGAGGAAAGAGGAAGTAGAGAAAAAGTCAAGAATTCAATGTAGAGAGAACATGGAGAGGTCCCGTTATTTTCTTTTTGCCTCATAATTATAGGGGCATGTTTTTACAATTAAAGAAAGGAGGGAGCAATTATAGAAAACTTTCCTAATACAATTGACACTCACATTAATCGTATAATATTTATATCATATATGTATTATAATTTGAATTATGATATGACTTTAATTGACTGATCGAACTGCTTGAATTTGGTCGGCTGAAGCGACCGGTTGAGCAGAGACCGTGCATTTCGAAGTAAATGTCAGTCAGCTGAGCCGCTCGATCAAATGATGATCTCGCTCGCCGTAGTAAAAGCTAGTCTGCCAACTAGCTTGCGATCAAAAACTTGTGCATGAATCTTGGTTGGTTGAGACTTCATCTCTCACAATAGTGCGTCAATCGATTCTGATTACGCAGTCGCTTATTGAATGATAGGAAGTCTTAATTGTCTAAATGTCACTGGGACCATTCGATTGCTTTGAGATTCCTACTGAGAGTTTTGATGCATACACTAAGCTTTGTATGTTTTTTTTTTAAATTTATAAGATAATTTATGAATTATTAGTTGAGTTGTTAAGATAACTTTTTCGACTAAGCTTAATTTTCCAAATAATGTTACAAGAACATTAAATAGGCATGAAAGAGTGCATTTGACTTTTTTGACTCATACACATTATGTTTTATTCAAGAATTGTTGAGTGGCATACATGTAAATCTACCTTAAAAGAAAAAAATATATATATAAAACTTAGCCGCATCAAATGATATACAGAAGCCTATATAGGAACACGCGTGCGGCCAGAAGCATGACTGCATGAGCATGAAAAGTTGAGTGCTGACAAATCATGAAAGGAACCAGCTCTCAAGCAATTGCTGGAGGCGACAGATGCCCGCATGTTCGGCATTTGGCACCATTATATCACAACATTCAATCATAAAAAGTGCAAATAATTTCAAAGTTCTTCATGTAGATGCCATCCAGAACCTGCCACAAACATATAAGCACGAAATATAAAGCATTTTTGACAAATAAACCATATAAGATTTCTCTTAAAGTATTGGACCTGAAAACATTAAAAATGTTGGCTCTGTGCTCAAGGGGACCTTTCAAACTTTTTGACCAAATAGCTAGCTGAGAAAATTTGAACACATAGAAGCAGGAGTTGCTGCCTGAAACATTGCTATTTACTAATCTAACATCCTCTTCCATCCATTTTCCAAATCCTAATATCAAAATTCATGATAAAACCCCAACCCGTGTTTTTAATTCTTATAAAAAGTTCTCGACGGTTTGATTGTGGCACGTGTAAATATGTCGGTTTGGGAGTTCAAAGACATCACATGGGTGCTAGATTTTATAAACAGCAATGTTTCGGGTGCTATGCATGTGATTATCCCATTGTTTTGAGATGAATGTAATATAAGAGTTAATTAATTAATCATAGGAAGATTTACATGCATACCACTAAATTCTAATGTATTTACATATCAAACACTTAACTTCAATTTGTGCAAATCTGCCACATTACCTATGCAAGAAAAGAGTGCATTTCACTTATTAACTGATCTTATTTTTGATGTGATGCGAAAGATTTAGGCGGCATAAGTGTAAAAGTTGAAGTTTAGGAGTTGAATTTGTAAATAAATAAGAAATGGGTGGCATGTATGTAAATGCCCCTTAATCATAAATTAAACTCCTGTAAACCAAATAGTTGAAAGCTAGCGTTAGTTAACCCCCCCAAAAGCTATCCACCTGTTCTTAAAATAGTTCTCTTTCATTTTTCTTAAGCAAAGTCAAACAAAGCCCAAAATGGCAACATAAAATAAATCAAATGCCAGTGTAAGTGCGCAATTATCCTCCACACTTAAATGTTAGAAGTTCCCTTTCATTTTATTTGCATCCCTCAATCTTATGGGATTCAACATCTTCACACCCAAATTTTATTAGGGAAATTTACTTACATACCGCAAAATCCTTATGTTTTTTTACTTTCTACGTATCTAACACCTGAAATTTGATATTTACACTTACAATACTTTGGTGTCATAAAACTATGCATGAAAAAATGAATTTTACTTTCAAAAAAATAATAATCATGGTATTTTCGATGCAATGTTGGAAGTTCTAAGTGTTATGCATGTAAATATGAAACTTTGGGTGTTGCTTATGTAAATATGTAGGAATTGTGGTATGCATGTAAAAGCCCCAATTATTTATTATGGAACTTCAAACCCCATGCATGCACGATTGATTATCTTGGTTTATGGCATGCGCTCTTATTAATTTTCGTTTTTTTTTAAGTCGTGAAGCACCCATCAACATCATCCCCAATCAAATTATTATTGTCATATACCAGTTCATCTTTCATACTTGAATAATTGCATCCCTCAATCAACTTTCTCGATTGTAGCCTTTGTGGGAACTGGAGCTGGGGAGGTTGGTCTTTACAGCATGCTTGGTGGTGAAGTTTTTGTTGCTTGCATAGTTGTTGGGACTATTTCTTTAATTATTGCTGGGAAGAATGTCCACATTGACAGTAGATGTTTCATAAGAGAAAATGGATTCTTCTTATCAGTCTTTGTCAGCCAGTCATTGACCTTAATTGTTGGGAAGAAAAGTGTTGGGGGAGCAATCTTCATTGTTTTCAACTACGTGGTTTATGCTTTTGTGGTTGCAGCAAATGAGATTTTGAAGAAGCATACAAGGAAGTTGAAGTTGAATGATGCGATTAGGCTGCTTCCTGTTGTCTTTGCAAATGAGAGGTGGATCTGTTTATAGATCTCTACTAGACAATGACTTAGATATTAGAAAATTTATTGAATACAACTGATAAGGCCCTTCCAAGCGACCCGGGTTTTCACCCTTTTGTGGATAAATATGCTGCAGATGAGGATGCCGTTTTAGCTGATTATACCGAGGCCCACTTAAGGCTTTCAGAGATTCGATTTGCTGAAGCTTGAATGTCCTGGATGAAGTATAGTTACAGCAAAGTTCTCTTGGACTCTAAAGGTTGCTGTATATCATGTCATCTAAGTAATAACTACGGTTGGGTGGCCGTATCCAATATCAGGCCCTACTCCGGAGTTTTTTACTGCAGTAGACCTTCCTCCGGAGCTTTTTTTGTAGCAAACCCTCTACCAGAAATCTTTCTGCAGCAGACCCTTCGGAGCCTTTTCCTGCATTAAGCCCTCCTTCGGATCTTTTTCCTGCATCAGACCCTCCTCCAGAATCTTTCTTGTAGCAGACCCTCCTCCAAAGCTTTTCCTGCAACAGATCCTCCACCAGTTTTTCCTACAATAAGCCCTCCAGAGTTTTTTTCAGTATCAAACCCTCCTTCGGAGCTTTTCTTGCAACAAGGCCTGCCCCTGGAGCTAGGGGTGTAAACGAACCGAGCATGAGCGAGCCCGAGCTTAGCTCGTGTTCGGCTCGTTTATATTTCAAGCTCAAAAAGAGTTTTCGTGTTCTGCTTGTTTGCTTAGAGAGCGGAACACGAGCTATTCACGAACGAAGAGTTGTTTTGACAACCCTAATCGCGTAACCACAAGATGTTAAGAGTTGGGGCAAGATTTAAAAATTATTATTTATATTAAAATGTCATTTGAAGCTAATTTAATAATTTTTATTCTATTTTCTTAATTAATACTTTTAATTGATTATAAATCTTTGTAGCCTTGTGGTCAATTAAATTTTTTAAGAATATTACTCATCAATATATGTGTGTGTGTGTGTGTGTGTGTATATATATATATAATTGATGAGTAGTATTTCGAGCTAAAACTAGCCGAACACGAATGAAAATCTTTGTTCGTGTTCGGCTCGTTCGCTAGGTTAACTTAGTGGACGAGTCGAACACGAGCTTCCTGGAGCTGTTCCTTTTTGTTTTCTACAGGTCATAACCTGCAACTTTTGATGTTGGTTATCTGCTTCCCTGCAAACTCTCCTGCCGCATTACCTGTAGTAGTTTTTTTCTTACCTGCAAACACTGCAGAAACTACAGTCAAAGACAACCACAGTCAACTAGAAGTCAATTTTTCTTGCAGGTTATTTACTTTTTGCAAACTCCCTTACAACATTATATATAAGAGTCATATATCTACCTACAGACACTGCAAGAACTGCAGTAAAAAAACAATCACAGTTGACTACTTCCCTGCAAACTCCCCTGCAGCATTATTGGTAGGAGTCTTTCGTCTACCTGTAGACACTGCGGGAATTGCAGTCAAACACAATCACAGTTAACTGCTTCCCTGCAAAGTGCAAACTCCTCTGCAACATTATATGTAGGAGTCTTCCCCTAACTACAGACACTGCAGGAACTGCAATAAAAGACAAACGCATTACGGGATGATGAGTTCAAGTTCAACTTCATGGACTCTCCCTAACACATTGGTTGATGGTTTCTAATACAAGTTCAACATGATTTTCAACCATGTTTCAACTTGAGGGGGGGTGTTAGAAGTTATATTAAGAAATGATTTATTCCTGTGAGAAGTTATGAGGAATAAATTATTTTCTTAAATTATAAGTTATTTCATTTCCTATTTTATATTTATTTCCTTAGATTAGAAGTTATTTTCTTTCTTATTTTAAACTTTCTTATTTTATATTATTTCTTTTATCTCCAAATAATTAATCTGAATTGATTATTGGAGATAATATGTGTTATATCTTTTCTTTTCATATCAATAATATCATTCAGTTTTATTACACATTATTTTGAATTTCAACATTAATATATATATATAAAGAGAGAGAGAGAGAGAGAGAGGCACACACGCAAGCGCACATACACAGAACAGGGCCTAGATGGGTCATCAAACTACCTTTATACCAAAAAAAAAAAAAAAAAAGAAATTGCTAAACTACCCAAACTAAATCCCAAAACAAGAATTGGAAAAATATGTGGATAAGATCACCATGCCATTTCAAAAAATTAATAGATAAGGAATATCATTCATCATTAAAAGTTCTCTCATTTATCATAGCCCTAAAAATCTTTCAAAGAGTTTTTTTTTCCATTGATTTCATTTTGCACGATTCCAACACTACATACATTAGATCAAAAAATTTGATGGGAAAATATTATAAATTCTATGCTAAAAACAACACAAGACAAAGCTTCATCTTCATCTCATCTTTTGGCACAGCCCATGTGGAAGAAGCTCATAGGAAGGTCGCTGCAAAACACAAGATGAAGGGAATTGTCGGAGTGGGCGTTGCCATAGGAGGCAATGCCAAGGAGGGATTTATTGGACGACACTTAGCGAGAGAAAGTAATGCCAAAGGAGTGCTATTTGGA